ATTTAGAAATTCAATTATTTAGAAAACGTACATGGCTCCTTGTGGTGTAAATGATAATTGTAAGTGCTTCACAGCAACAATCCATAAAAAAATTTAATTTCATACAAAATTTTATACAAAGCCACAATATGCAGTACATCATTCTTCCCACCAAAGTACCACAACATCTCCTCAATTCTATATTTGCTGGGCTCACTTCCATTGTAGCCCAGTGCTTACATGAACAGGCAGGTCTTCATGGCCTCAAGAAGGATAAAAAGATGGGGGCAGAACTCAATAAGCATTCAGAATTTTTCTGTCTTCATGAAAAGTGAAAGCTGATGTGGTGATCAAGCAAATGATAGGATGAAATACATGGTTGGTTGATAGATCACATTTTGTGCAGATCAGATCTAATGTCAGGTGCCACCTCTTCTCTTTTAGCATCCTTTATACCCAAAATGAAGGAAGGGGGATAATCTATTATTGTCTGTAATGCTTGTACAGGACAAAAGGCCTTGAAGAATGCTGATTGCTCTTTTGATGCCACCAGAACAATCACTGTCAATGAGATAATTCCTGTTTGTAAATACATTAGAAACTTCATCATTGCAAATACGAGAAAGAAGCACTTGAGTGACCAAAGAAAGGGTAGGACTGCAATATTGTTGTACTTAGTTTACTTAGTTGAAGTCTACCTGTTGCTGAAACAACAGTGCTCCTATTGGACAGCTCCCTTCATGAATTTGAACAATCTGATCTTTGGCCTATCATTTTGATAAAAGCAGAGGCTAAACCTTTTGGCCAGGAAAAGACATATGTACTGCATGTTATTGCTCTTTTGTTTTGCAACATGTATATTTAACTTCCAGTATAAAAAGTCAGATATATCATAAGCAACCTGTCACTATGATTCCAAAAAAGCTACTTGTGAATTTAAAAATTAGATGCTGATTAGGCAAATTGGGAGTTCTTCCAAAGGTTAGCTACTACTTCTAATCCCTAAGGCCTTGCTAAAATTCTGACAATTGCAGCTTTCATTTGGAAAAAAAGTTCAGCTCTTGTGAGTACTTGCTGTGCCCGTATCACTCACTACAAGCAAAAATAGAAAGGCATCAGTTTGTTTCCAAATACAAAACATGCTATTTTTAAATGTTCGGAATTGCAGAGAGGCTCTGCAGAAACCATGATTTTGCTGCTTGCAACCAAAGATAGATTTCCAGTTAAAAAATGAATAAAAATGTCTCCTACTGAACAGCTAACAAAGTGTGAAGTTAATAGTAAAGAAACAATATTCTTCTCATCTAGGTATTTGTGATATTAAGGGGGTTAAAATGCTAAAATAACAACAACCAGATTAGTTAAATCAATTCCTTTTGACTCATTTGTTAACAACAACAATAACCCCAGGTTCTGTTCAGAGTACAACAGAGCCATGTTTTATTCCTCCTTTTTATGGGTCAGAGATACCTTTAAAGTGTTCGTTTTAAAGTTATCTGACATTTAGGGATATGACTGGAAATCAAAAGAAGCCCCTTTTCTCTTTTTTAATTCTTAAATTTCACTGCTCTTCCATTGAGCTTGAAGGTTGCTATATTTGCCCATTTTATTTGTCTTAATGAGATTAGATTATGATGGAATATCATTCTAGAAGGGTTTTGGATATAGGTACCACGAGCATAAAGTCCCTCTCAGTCTGGCCACAATTGCACAGAGCCTGGTTAATTTTCAACATCAGTTAAATCAGGGGTCCCTAAAATTGGCAGCTTTAAGACTTGTGGACTTCAATTCCCAGAATTCTGGGAATTGAAATCCACAAATCTTAAAGCTGCCAAGTTTGAAGACCTCTGAGTTAAATACATGACTGACTCCATGCTTATGTGTCTTTTAATGTGTTCCATAATTCTGATTTCTGGCTTAACCTTTGCAATTTGGTAGAAAGTTAATTTTTTTGAATTGAAGTAAGTGGTTAAAACAATTTCATATTCTGCTTTAAGATTACTACTATATGATATTATATATTGCTTTCAGATTATGTTCGTGAAAATTTGACTATAAATATATATACGCATTTACACAGACAGAGGGACACACAAACACACAAAACAAACTGTAGAAAAGGAGAAGAGGAGATGATAAGAGATAAGGGGCATGCATAAGCGCACCAGTGTGCCTACCGTCCCTGTCCTAATGTTTCTTCTATTTGTACCTATTTTATGTATCCAATCCATGCTTATACTTATTACCAAATAAAATAAATAAATAAAATAAATGAGAAAGCACTGTTCAAACAAGCATACTAGAATAATACTATATCCCGGGAGGCTGCTCATTGCAACTATAGAAACACTTACCGAGCAGGAACAATAGAACTTAAAAATAGAAGGAAGGGAGGAAAGGCAGCTACTCCTCGTCTCCTGGAAAATTCTATATCCCAGTTTTAAATCTTCCTTTCCCTCTTCTCTAAAATGGCTAGGGAAGGAGTTTGCATGAGTTGGGATAGGTTTCCTGTTTGGGTCTTCTAATTCTTCCTTACAGGAAGAATGTAAGGCCAAAAGTCCACTTAATCCAGCACTTTGTTTCTCTCAGTGGATTGCCAGAAAGAAGGCTCTGGGAAGGCTCACAAGCAAGACAGGAATACAAGAGGTGTAAGAGTGTGTATGTTTACTCCAAGACATTTCAATGTTTGAAGCTAAGCTAAGGCACAAATGGTGAATTCCACACTCTCAAGTGAAGTTAAGTCCGAGTGTGTTATTTTGGCATATGGGCAGAAAATCCCACGAGTACCTTTTTAATCTCTGGCAATAAAGATACAATAATAAGAATAATAATTTATTTTACAAATTACTTCTTTTTTTCTCTTCAGTACTGGCTGTTTAAAGGTCTACTGCTTCATTTGCCTAAAAACAGGATGGATCTGAAGAAGATAGGCCAACAAGTCTACATACTGATTAATAGTTGTGAGTAAAAGTTTCACCATAATCAAAACATTGTTGTTCCACTTTAAAAAGCCAAGAAAATATATATTTCTCTTTTTTTCCCCTAGTGATGCATATGTGAATGTAAATAATACCCATTAGAAAACAGCCTGTTTTCAAACTACACAGGCATTTCTACTGGGTGACTGGGTAAAGGACCAAAAGAAAAAAGAAAAAAAGAAGCTTACATCAACATTTGAAATCGAAACATTCTTAGCTATTTAATAAATATATCCCAGCAGTTCAAAACTCTTCTGGAGATTATTAAGAAAGAATATAATCCAATTGCTGAGCACATTGTAAGTCGCCCTGAGTCTCCGGAGAAGGGCAGCATATAAATCAAATTAAAAAAAAATGTATTTTTAAAATCTAGATTGTTTTTGATTATGCAGAAACAACTTAAAAAAAACAAGTTTGTTTGCAAGAAAGTGGCAAGAAAGGGCAAATGATGGAATATAAACTCCATTAGCCACTGACCATTAGCCAATACACACACACACATGTATATATAATTAAATATATAGCATGGTGTTTTTGCCTTGGTTGATGGAGATTTGTTTTTACCAAGTGTACTTAACCCTATTATTTTTATGTAAACATTGTTACTTTTTATTTATTTATTTATTTATTTATTTATTTATTTATTTATTTATTTATCAGATTTATATACCGCCCTTCTCCCGGAGGACTCAGGGTGGTGCACAGCCAAAGTAAAAACATAAATACAAACATTAAAATACAGTTAAAAAGATATATGTGTGTTTGGCCCCATAATTAAAAAAACAATAACAAACCTATTAAAAACATTTAAAAATGTGTTAAGCCAGCCCGGCTTGCTGAAAAAGAAAGTTAGCTCCCCAAAATTATTTCATTAAAATGGGCAATTATATATATTTGTATAATAAATTTTAGATATTTTTTTCCAAATCAATATACTGGTTCTATTTTGCTTCTACAGTCTTGTGGTCATAATAGTACAGTACAAGTATCAAGTTCAATGGACAAATCATGTAAATACAGTTGAAACCAGTTTATGCACCAAATGATGATCAATGAACCAATGCATTCAGTTTCTCTGAACAATCTTATAGACTGTTAATAGCATTCTACTACAAGGTTTGGGTAGGAGTGTGTGTTTTGTGTTGTGTCTATTCATGCAAATAGCTCTGAACTTTCTTTAAAAAAAGAGAATAAAATAATAATCATGGGACATGGTACAAGTATTGCCTAACAATATTCTGTACGCTCAGTATTGTGATAAATATTGTCAGTCAAAACTTGTACCATGTCCCACAATAATTATTATTTTATTCTCTCTCTCTCTCTCTCTCTCTCTCTCTCTCTCTCTCTCTCTCTTTTAAGAAAGTTCAGAACTATTTGCATGAAACTTCCAAGGTTGTCCTTTAGGCATTGGTCAAGGGTACAATCTCCTGGCTGCAGAAAAACAGAGAAAGAAACACAGTATCAGATTTATTCCATCACTAGCTGAATATAAAAAAACCTAACATGTGGCATGTTGCTATAGCAGAATCACAGAGAAGAGACTCCAACTTTTTGTTCAATACAGGAATTCAAATTAAAGCATCCTTAACAATTGGCTATTTAATTTCTGCTGGAATACATCCATTGAAAAAGCCCCAACACTTCTCTAAGTAATAGGTTCCCTATCAAAATGCTCTTTCTGCTGGGAGCTGTTTTTTTTCCCCCATCTGTCAATCATTTGAGAATTTTGTCCCAAAGGTGCTTTCTTTCAAAAGGCAACTGGACTTTCTTGTTTTGCTTGAATACATTTCGCTTCTCATCCAAGAAGCTTCTTCAGAAGAAGTCCAGTTGCCTTTTGAAAGAAAGCATCTTTGGGACAGCCATGACATGGATGACTGAAAACCTCCATAAACATCTGGGAACTTTCTTTTTAGAATGTATGCATGCCCACATATGTAAGGGAGTCCTTGACTGGCTTAGCTTCCTGTGCCCAAGACACACAGAAATCTGTATGTTCAGATAAAGAGCGCTTGTGAATACAATAAAATCTAGCAGTCTTACCTTCACCTGAAGAGCCTGAAAGATCTATGATGACGTACACTCTTCCTTCTGGCTCCAAATCAATCTGCAAGAGAAGGAAGCAAATATTTATTATTAGAATTCCACTGTGTTCTTTTCATAGGGTGTGTTGTTTTCCTGAGAATTCTTACAGGATTTTTAATGTACTCTAAGCAGGCATTGGCTTAAAGGAAGAAAAAAAAAGAATAGATGCCACTGAAACATTATAAACCAACCTTAGATGAAGTAAAAAGATTTACTGTAAATATTTAGCTACATTTCTGGATTTGGATCTCATAAGACCATTTACTTATTTAGAAAATAAGTAAGGATAATACTTCAATTAGTTCAGTGTATAGCTTTACCTGTTCCAGAACTTTAGAAGACACAATGCAAATTAAAACCCAAATTTAAATAACGCAGTGTATAATATGTTAAAATAATGAAAACAATATCCTGCCAAAATCTTCATAACTTTGTCTGTTTGCCAAAATCTTCATAACTTTGTCTGTTTCAAAGTGGTTCTCAGAGATCTGCCCAAACTTTTTTTTGATAAATGCAAAATGGGGCTAACTTTTTCTATTGGAACTGTTTAAAAAAGAGATTATAAGACTCATGCAGGCATTGTCACATTTCTACAAATAAGATATTTATGGAGCTCATCCCTGATGGACTATCAAATATCTGTTTGCTTCTACAAGTGCTAAACTTTCTTAGGTTTAAGGACAGACAATTTCCACCAAATATTACACAAGAGGGGTAAAGATATGTAAGTACACATTACTATACTGCTTTATGCCTATACTTGATAGATGTCAGAATGAAAAAGGCATGCTGTAAAAGTATATTGGAAACAACATAGACAAGGAGCAACTAAGGAAAACACATCTTTAAATGATCTTTAGATGCCTTGTGTTGGCACACAGTTGGTAGTTTCAAAATCTTTTTTTTTCACTGACCTTGGAGATTTTGAAGGGACATGGGAGACATTTGATTTGTTACATACGTTATGGTTATTTTTCAGGTGTTTAACACAAAACGTGTGCTTATTTGCCATCAATATATGGTTCCCGCAAGGTGTAGCCAATGTCTCAAAAGTATTTCTTTCTTACTATTATTGCTGTACTTTTATATCAAGAATAGACATTTTTAAAGCTAGTGTGATCTACTAACTCTAAGGTTCCTCAACCAGAACCAAATGGAAAACAAAGCCATGGAAGCTAAAATGAAGGAATGAATAGATTATCACATTCATAGATCAACGTAGGCACGTAACACATTCCAAATAGAAATAAAATACTCAAATGAAAACGAGTTTGAAAAAAATCACTGAAAAATAGAAATACTTGACTTATGACTACAATTGACTTATGACTACAATTGAGCCCAAAATTTATGTTGCTAAGTAAGAAATTTGTTAAGTGAGTTTTGCCCCATTTTACGACTTTTTTGCCATATTTGTTAAGTGAATCACTGCAATTGTTACGTTACCGTAGTAACATGGTTGTTAAGTGAATCTGGTTTCCCCATTGACTTTCCTTGTCAGAAGGTTGCAAAAGGGGATCGCTTGATCCCAGGACACTGCAACCATCATAAATATGCACCAGTTGTCAAGGATCCAAACGTAAATTACATGACCATCGGGATGCTGCAATGGTCATAAGTGTGAAAAATGGTTTTATGTCACTTTTTTCAGTGCCGTTGTAACTTTGAATGGTCACTAAATGAACTGTTGTAAATCGAGGACTATCTGTAAACATAACACATAAATAACAATCTTATGAACAGATCTGTTTTTCTTTGTTATCTGAGCAAAGTTCTTAGACAAAATTTAGCCACAAAATTGTTTAGCTTCTGTTTCTATCAGTTCTTTCTAAACTGCTACCGAACATTGGCTTTGTATAATCTTTCAGACAGGAAAAAAAGGTGTTTTACCAACTGCTGGCTGGCTACAGGCTTTTGTCACCTCTGTTGCAGGGGAGACACTGCTTCTCCTTTAGTTTTTAGAGTGCAATAAAGAAGAGAACAACCTTGTCTAAAACCTGCCTCTCCTCCGTCAGGATGTTCTCAGTTATAATCCAGTTCAAATCCACAGTCCACCTGTGCATGTAGCAACCTAAAATGGTGATGTAGAGAGCATAGAGAATGGCCTTGAAGGACAATGGAAAGAACTGTAATCAAGGCAATGATCAGACAGTTGCAGCTTAAATCCATTCCAAGAAACCAATATGAGAAAACACATTAGATAAATCCCCCACTAATTCACAGGAAGATAAAGTGAAGGAGGAGGGAATTTAGAATTGAAAGATTCTGTCTCTATACCTGCTCTAATCAAATTTATTTTTAGACTGATAAGGAATTGGTTTTAGTCTGATCCAACTTATGGGTTAATAAACGAATTAAAAGCAGACGGTGAAGGATGCAAAACACTGACTAAAGAGACCGGTAAGATACCACAGAGTCGGTCTCCTCCGGGTCCCGTCAGCTAAACAATGTTGGCTGGCGGGCCCGCAGGGGAGGGTCTTTTCTGTGGCTGCCCCGGCTCTCTGGAACCAATTACCTCCTGAGGTCCGGACCCGCCCCCACCCTCTTGGCCTTCCGCAAAGCGGTGAAGACCTGACTCTTCCGGCAGGCCTGGGGCCATTGATCTCGTTAGAATGATCTTGCAAGACCTGGCCACGAATTGGAGTGCATGTGTTTTAACGTTTTTAATGTTTTAATGTTTTTCTTTTTAACATTTTTTATGGGATTGTTCGCATTGTTTTATTCTTTGTTGTAAGCCGCCCAGAGTCCCTTGGGAGTTGGGCGACATAGAAATGCGACAAAAGAAAGAAAGAAAGAAAGAAAGAAAGAAAGAAAGAAAGAAAGAAAGAAAGAATTGTAAATTACCAGAATAGAAAATATTTGGATCAAGAGGTGTATATCAATTAATTTCTTATCTCTCTCAGGGTCTGCCTTTTCTTAGTCTATTATAATTGTTTATATGTCCTTTAAAACAGCCCACCCCCGCCAACCTTTTGGGCACCAGGGACCATTTCTGTGGTGAGAGGATTTTACGTGGACTGGAGGGAGCGTGGTTTCATGTGCTGCTTGCATCCCATGGATGGAGCTTCATTTGTTTGCGCAGACCAGTTTCTGGCATGCCAAAGACTAGTGTCGGTCCATGGACTGGGGGGAGGTGGGAGGTTGGGGAACCCTGTTTTAAGAAATAGCACATCTTGTACTGAATGAGTAGGGGACTATTTTTATATTCTCATTTGTTTCTTGAACACATGGCATTCATTGTTAAGTCATGGTTGGTCAAAGAAGGACCAATTATTAACAGTTATATAAGCAGAGCTAATAAAAACAGATAGAATTGGCCAAAGGAGTTGTATCGGAATGAAAAGAGATAATAAATTTTCCTTCTAGAATATCTAATTGTAGTTGGAATGCAATATACACAGACCCTTAAAGTCTCCAACATTGTCCTTGGATTCCCTGATTCGTTCTACTTCTATGATGGATTGCAAATATTTTAATAGCATATTGTCATTCAAGTCTAATCTGGCAGTGAAATCCCTCACTTTGAGTGGATGGGAAGTGTAGCTGAACATTATTAAAGTAGATTTCTGCTTTTGACCAAATTTGTAGGATTCAAGAGTTAGGGTTGTTAAGCATAAATTCATAAATTCTCATGGGAGAAATTTAGGATGATAAGTTATACAAAGGTATCAAATGGATCTAATGTAATGATCATGGTGTAGAGACTGAGATATGGAGATCCAAGACGGCGCAAATTCTCACTTTTCAGCAGAAACTATGAAAAGAGAAAAAGATTTATAACCCTCAATATGCAAACCACTATGTCAATGAAACAAAAGCAGCAAAAGGTAATATAACTCCTGAAGACAAGGTGTCTTGTTTAGACCTTCCATCCAGTACTATACCAGGAGAGCAGCCACAATGATTCAGGTAATCTTGCAAACCAACTAAAATTCAGGGGTATAAAAAGGAGGGCCCTACATGTCATGCCTTGAACTAGGCTCGGGGGACATTAGAACCATCTGAAATTATGCTATCCATAATAGCATCCAGCATTCTTAAAGAGCACTTAGATTCTTCTGGATCTTCAGTCTGTAGCAATCTGTTCATATACTCATAGACACATAGCTCAGTATGGAAAAAAAATGTGTGGATGGAGAGTTTGACTCATCCCTGGGGCAGTAAAGGAAGAGCAAAGATGTATTCCCTGTTGAAGACCAAGGAATGAATGCTTTACATTATGAAGGTTGGCTGAATCATTATGTAAATGAGGTGACTGGATATAATTAGGCTCAAGCCAAGTCAGGTTGCATTCAGCTGTATCTTCAGCATTTAAGCAGGGCACAATGCAGACACAGGACTGGTTCTAGCAGAAAGATCTCAGGAAGGCTTCAGTGGAGGGTTTGAGTGCCATCACTTGCATACTAGGAATGAGGTAACTTGCAGCTTTTATACATTAGAAGGAAAAAGCTCTGCCTGAAGTCAGATTTAATGCCTGGTACATTCTTGAATCATATTCAGAAATGAGCTGCACAGACCAAGCTATCTATATCCAAGTTTCTTTGGATTTTACTATTGCCATTGTTACATAATTACAATCCCAAAATCTTTGGACAATAATTTGCAAATCATCCAAGTGAATTTTCACCCAAGCAGTGGTAAAATCCAATTTTTTTTACTACCGGTTCTGTGGGCATGGCTTGGTGGGCATGGTGTGGCTTGGTGGGCGTGGTTTGGTAGGCATGGCAGGGGAAGGATACTGCAAAATCCCCATTCCCTCCCTATTCCCTCCTGGGAGAAGGATATTGCAACATCTCCATTCCCACCCCATTCTGGGGCCAGCCAGAGGTGGTATTTGCCGGTTCTCCGAACTGCTCAAAATTTCCGCTACTGGTTCTTCAGAACCTGTCAGAACCTGCTGGATTTCATCCCTGCACACAAGCCTATCTATCTCCCCTCCACCTCACTTTATGTCATAAATAAACACTGTCAAAAATGTAAGACAGTGTTTTTTGCTGTCTGGGTTTTAACTCAAGTACTTTG